TCGGACCTCGCGCATAGCAGGAGCTTAGTGCACCAGGCTGCCCACAGCTAGTAGCGGCGGATGTAGCTTTATAGCGACGGGTTCAATTGAACCCATAACTTTCGAGGTAAAATATAAACTTATGTATAAAAATTTATTAAATCATAAGAAATATTGAATAGGAACCCATAACTTTTAAAATTTGATAGTTCAATGCTAAAAAACTTAAATATTAAACCCATATAATTTAAATTCTGAATTCGCCTCTAACTGCTATGACAACTTTTGAATTTCAAAAGTCTTGTAGTAGTATTTCTTTTTATAAAGAAATCCTAGTGTTATTGTTTTTCTAAATATGCTATTCATATTTCTTTGCCATAAAAACAATATAATTTCTCGTCGATACTCCGTTTGAATCAACAGAATTGCAGTTATTTTCGCTTTCTAGCATGCCCTGAAGTTAGTCAACTTAATTGGGATATATTACTCTCTAGTGTCGCCTCTTTTGCTTGTTGATGTCGTATTGTATTTTTACCGCCTTTCACGCAAAGAGCGTTTTAAATTAAAAATTTTAATTTCTGATGTGCGCCTTTTTGTCTAGTAAAGTTCTGGTATCAGACTCACAGTCTGTCCGAATGGTAGAATCAACATTTTGCACTTTTGATGTGACTGACAATCTTTTTCGGATGGATATTACAAATTTAGTTCAATTTCCTGATTCAAAAGGTTGAAGGTGAAAACCTAATTGTTAAGTTGAAAACTGATCTGCTCATTTTTTCTTTTTTGGGTACTCAGCTCCCCTTCTCCCTTTTCCCAAAAAAGAAAAATAGCAAAAACAAATGTGATGATTAGCAATGTAATTAATCTGTCTTTTGCTCTTAAGCGGATCAAGAACAGTGGATAAAGCTAATAGTTTGAACATAGATTTTGACTTTATTTTTTTAAAAAAAAAAAATTAAAAACATTCTTTGTTTATGAAGTTTTGGGAAAAAAAATTTCAAATTCCCAAAACGGGTTTAGGGTAATTTTTTGGTGAATTTTTTTTCTTCCACTTAAAAACCTTCAACTTTTCTTCAAACAAAATGAATGTCCAAATACAACTTCAACTTTCAAAAATTATTTTTCAACACAACTTCAAAAATCCTTTTTTCAAGTTTTAATCAAATTTATGTCTAAAACGCTATTCAAATAATTTGAGGGGAGTGTTTCTTCTTCCATATTCAGCAAGCTGCTTCGCTCGAGGCCCTCCTTCTGAGCAATGGACTCGAAATATACAAGTTGAAGGTCCGTCCTGGTTGTTGTATAACAATACACTTCTTATGTTGTCTTTGAGAGGCAACCATTTGTATGGTGGAATTCCTGCATCTTCTCAATTTCAAACATCAAGTCTTCTGATGCTTTGATGCTTGACGTATCAGATAATTGCTTGGGCCGTACACTTCCACTAACGTGCTCTAGTTATTTCCAGACTTACTCCATCTTAACCTGTCAAATAACGCCCTCGAAGGCATCCTTCCTTCATCTTTTCACCATCTGTCAAAGCTAGAGGCCCTGGATCTTTCTCACAACTTCCTGTGGGGAAAACTTCCTCCAACTTTAAGGCAGAATAACACTTCATTGGCACATTTACTTCTTTCAAACAACAATTTTCATAGTGGGGTATAGGGAGAGTAGTGTGTACGCAGATCTTACCCTTATCCTGGATGGCACAGAGGTTATTTTCAATAGTCCCCTCGGCAAAAAATTAGTGGCAACAGGTGATAACAACAACAAGCTATCAAGAAAACTAAAACGAAAGTTAAGAGGTCCTGGATCTTTCTCACAACTTCCTGTAGGGAAAACTTCCTCCAACTTTAAGGCAGAATAACACTTCATTGGCACATTTAGTTCTTCCAAACAATAATTTTTATAGTGGGGTATGGAGAGAGTAGTGTACGCAGACCTTACCTTTACCCTGGAGGGCACAGAGACTGTTTCTAATAGACCCTCGGTTAAAGACAAGATGAAAAGAATTAATGACAACAGGTGGTAACAACAACAAGGTATCAAGAAAACTAAAACGAAAGAATGCAATCAAACAGCAAACAGTACCATCAATCCAAGAATAAAGAGATACCATGTTACACTACTGCTACCGATTTAAGAAAAAGAAACCGATTTCATGGGATAATTTGGCTTTCAATCATTATCAGGAAGAATCCCCTTCGAAAACAAGTTTGTCACTTTTGCAGCATCTAGTTATAGAGGTAACAAGGAACTCTGGGGACTTCCATTAATTGGAAAACGATTGTGTGCCCCCGAGGTCGCCTCAGCAGCATGAACAAGAAGGAGGAGGAGGCGGAGGAAAAGGAAGGAATCGGTGAAAGTGACTTCTTTTTCTTCTCATGCATTGACTGAAACGGACAAGTTTTGTATTATCGTAGCTCAAACGCATATAGAATTTGTTTTGATGTCATTAAATCGTGAAAATGCCTTGTTAAGCGCACTTCATCATAATAAAAACAGATCAATTATTGCACTTAAGGGTGTGACCTAGTGTTCAATAAAGTGGATGAGAACCATGAGATCTCAGGTTCAAATTCCAACGGAGGTAAAAAATACTAGGTGATTTCTTCTCATCTAACCAAGCCTCGGTGGATAGTACTGTGATGACTAAGATAATTTCTGAACCAAATTGAGAAGATCTAAGAGCTCCATAATTTGATTTTTGCTTAGTGTTTGGGAGTAATGTGGCCACATATAAGTTGTAATCACAATAATTCTAGTCCGATTTCTTATCACAAGGTCATTTACATTGAGGCGGACAACATGATATATTATTGAGTATGATTAATTACCCCACTAAAAGTATAATTAAAATAAAAAGTTGCTCTTTTTTTTTAATTAAAAAAAGGTGTTGCCTTAATTTTAATAAATTCGGGCAGAAATTATATGAAGAGTATTTACAGGTAAGAAGTTGAAAACGTCTTCCCCAAGTTTGAGATAACTTTTGCAATAGCGTTGACCCCGTGCTCTCCAAGGCACTGGTCAATAGATCGAGCCCGCGACCCAAATGAATTGCTTCATCAGTTTGAACTTGCATTTTATTCTTCAAATTTAGTGTAACTTATCTGTAACGATCCGACCGGTAAATGAGAGTTGTAGCCCTGTTCCCTCATTTACTGCTCATTTTGTATTGTATAGTTGTATTATGACGTACCGAGTTAGTCGGTTCGGGTCCGGAAGAATTTCGGAATGAATTGAGACACTTAGTTTCATAATGGAAAACTTAAGTTGAAAAAGTTGACCGGATATTGACTTGTATGTAAACGACTCTGGAATAGAGTTTTGATGATTCCGTTAGCTCCGTTGGGTAATTTTGTACTTAGGAGCGTATCCGGATTGTAATTTGGAGGTCCGTAGTTGAATTAGGCTTGAAATGACGAAAGTTGGAAATTTGGAAAGTTTGACTGGGTATGGACTTTTTGATATCGGGGTCGGATTGGGATTCCGGAAGTTAGAGTAGGTTCGTGGTGTCATTTGTGACTTGTGTACAAAATTTAATGTCATTCGGACATGATTTGATAGGTTTCGGCGTTGTTTGAAGAAGTTGAAATTTCCTTAATTCTTTAGGCTTGAATCTATCTGCGATTCATGTTTTTGATGTTGTTTGAGGTGATTTGAGGGCTCGACAAAGTTCGTATTGGGTTAGAGGACCTGTTGGTATGGTTGGTTGAAGTCCCGGAGGCCTCGGGTGGATTTCGGGTGGTTAACGGATCAAGTTTTAAACTTAAAGAATTGTTGAAGATTTGCAGTTGCTGGTGCAATCGCACCTACGGAGTGAGCACCGCAGATGCAAGCTCGCAGAAGTGAGAAGGGGACCGCAGAAGGGGTCAGGAAGGAAATAGGCAGAGGTCGCAGGTGCGGTGCATTTGGCGCAGAAGTGGAAATGGAGAGGGGAATTGGCTCCGCAGAAGCGGAGTTGTTGCTCGCAGAAGCGAGTCCGCAGGAGCGTAGAGAGCGACCTCTGGGAGCGGAAGGAACCACAGATGCGGTTAGTAGGTCGCTTTTGCGATGCCGCAAAGGCTAAGTTGTCGCAGGTGTGGAAAGCCTGGGCAAAACATATAAAAACGAAGGTTCCGAGATTTTCATTACTTCTAATATTTTGAGCTCAAATTTTGGCGATTCTTGAGAAGATTTTCGAGGGGATTCTTGAGGTAAGTCCCTTGTGCTTATTTATATTCAATAATCTTGCTTCTCCATTGATTTTTCCACCTAGATTGTGTGGTTTTGAGGTGAAATTTCGGGGTTTGAGGCTAGGAATTTGGAGAGTTTGATTTGAGGATTTGAGTAGCGATTTGGTATCGGATTTTGATAAAAGTTTGTATGGTTGGACTCGTGGTTGAATGAGCTTTCGAATTGTGTGACTTTTATCGAATTTCGAGACGTCGGTCCGGGGGCCAACTTTGAGCCGATTTCGGATTTTTGATTTATAACTTCATCTTATGGAATTGATTCCTTTATCCCGTATTGATTGTATCGTACTATTTATGGATAGATTCGGGATATTTGGAGGCCGATTTATGAGGCAAATGTGTGTTGGAATAGAGATTTGGCTCGGATTGAGGTAAGTAACAGTTCCACTACTAGAAAACTGCAAATTTTCTAGGGAAATTTCCCACATATATATTATCAGTGGCAGTTCCCACTGAAATATAAAAAAATTAAGTGGGAAGTAAAAAAGTTTTCTTTTACCTTTTTCTTAAAAATGTTCTCACAGACTATAGGTGGGAATTAGTTAGCGCAAAAAAGCGCATAATTTGTTTCCCATCGAATCAGTGGTAATGTCATTAAAAATAAATTTATTAAAATCTACCCAATGAAACGGTGGGAACCTAAAATAAAAAATAATTTTAATTTTCCCACCGATGCATTGGGAAGCTCAAAATTTCGAACTGTTGTATTTGGTCCAAAAACCCGCGAGCTTAAATTATTTCACCAAAAAAATTGAATTTATAGAAGACAATCCCACAAATTTTTTCAGTGAATCAGTGGGAAAGTATTTTCTATTACATTAGGTATATTCTTTTTTTTTCCTTCTCTTTTTCAATCTCATTCTTCTCTTTCTCTCTGTTCTCTTGGCAGACCGATTTTCCCCCATTTTCAGAAATCAGAGCTTTCACTAAGCTCATGCAAAATCGGTANTTAAATGCCTAAAAATCTAGGGTTCCTCCATGCCTAGTAATAAATATTTGTAATCTTTTCCAATTGATGTAATTTATGTTTTGGTTGCTAGATTTTATTTTCCAGTTGCTCTTTTGATACGGACTAAAGTTTTTGAAAATTTCCCTTTAGTTTCTGTTTTTAGTTTTGAGTTGGTGAATGGATTATCGATGATCTTTTTGAGTTCCCTCCACTGGAACGAGGAAATCAGATCTTTGATTGAAACTTTTCAGTTTTAGGAGATTCTCTTTACTTATTGCTGATAATTTCCAACTAGTATTATGCCATTGTCTCAATATGAGAATGATATGGACAGTGACTTTACCTTATTCTACCAAAATAAGTCATTAGTATTTTCTAATGAGAATTTGTAATTGAGCATTGTTAACGTGTTAGATTACAGGAATGTGTTGGTGTAATGGTATCACTGATGAAGTTTATTTTGCATTACTTCTTGATGCTAATAGAAGTAGAGCTTGTTTTGCCCTCACTTCGTGAAATTACAGCAGAGGATTCTCTTGTTTTTTACCGTATTTTCGGACTTGGATGATTGATAATGAGACTGTCTCTTTATCCTTCTCCACTTAAATAATAGGTTGTTGTCTGTGGTAGGGTCTGAACCTATGGTGTGCGTTTGATCTACTGAAAATCAAAGTCCTGGAGTCTACGGTGAAGCCATTTTTTTAGCTTCTCAAATCAGGTTATAAGTCTTGAGGTAACTTTATTTGCTAATCTCTAAGTTGGTTTCAGTTGTTAAATGTAAGTTAAGTTGTTAAATTGCTAGAACAACTACATAAATTTATATTGCTTTTGTCTTGATAAAAAAAATCCTTTATTGTGAATATTATATCTATCCTCCAAGTTTAAATTTATTTATGGATGATAGCGAATGTGTTAGAATCTTGGTTTGACTTTTTAAACTGATTCCAAGAACTTAATAGGAGCATTTCTATGAAAAAGTACTTTTCATTCATAGTAACTTGATCTAGAACCATAGTCTTTTCTTGACTTATAAAAAGACAAATAAAAGTTAGTTCTTTAAGGTATACTATTCATAATTAATTGTAAAGTAAGTGAGTTCTTTAAGGTATACTATTCAAGATTAATTGTAAACTAACTTGATACAAATAAATCGTTCTAAGTCTATTCATTTATTTGTGTGTATTTGTGTACTAGATGAAACGTGAACATCGTAGATGGATGTACGACAGAAATCATCCTAATCGTTGTGGATTAAAGGAAGAATTTGTTGAAGGTGATAAAGGATTTATGGCTCATGCAAAACCGCTTCCTGAATTTCGTAACGAAGGAAGAATTAGGTGTCCTTGTGTGAAATGCAAGTGTACAAAGTTGTTGCAACCGGAAAATGTTAAAGTTCATCTTTATAGCAAGGGGTTTAGGGAAAATTATTATGTGTGGACTGTTCATGGAGAGAACTATTATAGTGTTGGTAATGTTCATTTCCAAAATCTAGTTAGTGGTGAGAGTACACAAATGGAGAATAATGTTGAGAATTCTCGATTACATGAAATGGTGTCAGATGCTTTTGGTTTTTACCCGAGGGTTCAATCCCAACAAAATGTTGTTGAGCCTCCCAATGATGAGGCAAAGCGCTTCTATGAATCATTAGAGTCGGCTAGTCGTCCACTCTATAAAGACTCAATGCACTCTGACTTGTCTGTTGCAGTTAGATTACTAACTATCAAAATCAAATTGGAATATTTCTCAAGAGGGCATGAATGCTATAATTGGGCTCATGCGTGAAGTTAATCCTAGCATTAACTTACCCAGTGATTACTATAAAGCAAAGAAATTGATTTCCAAGTTAGGACTTTCCTCAACAAAAATTGATTGTTGTAAAAATGGTTGTATGTTATATTATAAAGATGATGCGGCTCTAGAAGCGAGCAAATTTTGTGGACTGTCTCGTTTTAAGAAAGTCACAAATGCCAAAGGTAAGAAAGTTGTAGTTAAGAAGATGCATTACTTACCAATTATACCTAGATTATAGAGGATGTATGCATCAATGAGTTTTGCTCCTCATATGAGATGGCACCATGAAAATAGAAGGTCGCCTGGTGTTTTGTGTCATCCTTCGGATGGAGAAGCGTGGAAGCATTTTGATAGGATGTTTTCAGACTTCGCTAATGAACCAAGAAACGTTAGGTTGGGTTTGTGTGCAGATGGATTCACTCCATTTTCTGTCTCAGCTGTACCATATTCATGTTGGCTTGTCTTTGTTACGCCATAGAATCTTCCACCTGAAATGTGTATGACAAGTCCATTTTGTTCCTAAATTGCATAGTTCCGGGTCCAAGTAATCCAAAAGGTTTAATTAATGTATATTTGTAGCCGTTGATTGATGATCTGAAATTATTGTGGCATGAAGGTGTTGAAACATACGACATATCAACTAAGCAAAACTTTAGATTGCGTGCTACTTTGATGTGGACTATTAATGATTTTCCTGCGTATGGAATGTTGTCTGGGTGGTCTCCTGCTAGAAAGTTAGCTTGCCCCTTTAAGGCCAAATGAAAATGTTCTTCTTGAAATATATACTAATAATTAAGCGAAATTAAGGCGGTTACTGTAACTTGATTGTGATGCCCTGGTAAATGATACCCTTTTGTAGCTATGCTACTATCAGGAATAGGTGAAACTCCAAGACTTATCATTAACTTCACACTTCCCCATTAGTACGATTTCATGTAATTTATGCAATTTCCCTAGAGCATGAAACACTCAGGTTGTCAAGCACTTGAAACTGTTGTTGTTATAACTAATTACACGGTTAACTAATCTTTTGAAGTTTCATGGATATAGCACTTTAATTTTGTATGTTCATGGACATGTAGCCTCCGGTCATCCATGGATATAGCACTAATCTTATTTGTATGTTCATGGACACATAGCCTCCGGCCATCCATGTAAAGATTTTCATCAAGGACTTGACACCATGATCGTGTTCTTTAAACAACAATCAAGGTTTGGCAGTTCATCTTTCAGATCCACCTTAGTAAGTGCGTGTAGTCATTAGGCTTCTTCAAGCAGTTGCCTTCCTAGTTGAAGTGTCTTTATCTCCATCAATCACACGGTCCGTTGCATAGTTCACATCTGATGCATTTCACTGGGTAATTGCCAGTTATTTGATTTGATCGTTTGGTCACATATTTACATTTTCATGCTACAAATAATTAGTCACTTTTCAAACTGAGTGATTACCACAGTGAAGATTCTGTGGCTCCTCCCTCAAAGCTACTATAATTGACAATGGTCTTAATCAACATTTATATCTTGTAGTTTCCATGTCTAGTTGAAATCTCTATCAATCAAATTGTTGTTTAATTTGTTGATATTTGATGCCTTTCAATTGCTGCACTAGTTGATTGATCGACTTTAACCACCAGATGACTTATGTGTGTGTTGTCTTGAGATATAACTTGCAGTCTGTCTTTAACTCTAAAGGAGTGATTCCTATTTTCTGTTCTAAAAGAGTTAAGTTGTAGCGGAGTTGAGTTGGATTTTGAAATTTACTGTCTTGTCTTTAATGATTTATTTAGTGCTTTATCTCTTGATGTTATCTGACTGTTCTCTATTTTCAGTCCCAACATTAGAAAGAAATATTAAGGCACAGTTCATGTTTCAACTTTGCCATTAACTCCTGTTTTTCTTGAAGTTGGAAAATCTAATTTGGACTAGAGCATGAAACACTCAGGTTGTCAAGCACTTGAAACTGTTATTGTTGTTGTTGTAATTAATTACACGGTTAACTAATCTTTTTGAAGTTTCATGGACATAACACTTTAATTTTGCTTTTTTCATGTTTTATTTAACAGGAAAAGTCTTTAAAAAAACCAGCTACTCAAGATGAGGTATTTGAGCATACACATATGAAGAAGCTAAAGGATGGAACAAAGACAACGTGGATCGAGCCACAAGCCGAGACAACCTATGTAAGATTTCAAATTACTTTTTAATACTTTTCATTAATTAAATTTATTCATATAATAGTTGTAACTTTTTTGCAGAATACTTTCAAACAATCCTTGGAGGAGTTCATTCAAATCCAACCAATTGATAATCAAGGAAAGCCAATCCAACCATCCCAGGAGAATTATATGGACTTGTGGATTAAGGCGGCTAGTAGCGTACATAAGGAAAGAGTTTACGGCCTTGGATCAGAGTTTAGTTCTAGTCGTCGGTCTTTTGGATCTGGTGGCTCTTCTTCCTCAAGGTCCTCGATTAATCAGGATAAGTTTGAGCTATTGAATAGAAGAATAGCAGAGATCACTGAGTTGTATGCACAGGAAAGGGCTGCGCGGGAGGAGGAGGCAAAGTGAAGGGAGGAAGAAGATAGGCGGAGGGAGGAAGAGGAGAGGCGGAGGGAGGAAGAAATGAGGCTAAAGGATGCTGCATTTACACGTGTCACTGGTGACGTTGAAAGCCTCAAGGCCCAGCTAAACCACCTCTTAGCATCTGGTGTATTTCCTGCGCTACGTTCTCCATCACGCTCTAACAAGACTAAGGAGTAGTTTCTTTTATTAATATAATTTTGGATAGGATGTTATGTATCAATTGGATAAGATTGAATGCTGAAATAGTTGAGTTAGATGGGGGATTTTGGTCGAACTATCAAAGAGGTCTGCTACCAAAGAATTAGGAGTTATAACATTCATAAAAGAAAGAAAAAACCAATATAGGAACTTCAACTAAGAAATAATAAGAATTCTTATTTGAATGTTAAGTTGCATCATTGGTTTCTAGTATTTTCAGTTTTGGTTGGTTGTTTTACGAAATGGATCGGAAGATGCTGATTTTTGTGTGTGAATGTTTAATTGTATTTAGGTTGTTGGTGATTGTATTTTTTTGTTTGGCAGGTGGTGCAATATATTTACAGCATTGTGCACAAAAATAATTTTCAGATTTCCCACGGAATTGCCACTGATTCCGTGGGAAGGTTCGCCACTTTAGTTGCAGAACTTGCATATTTTCCGCTGATATCGGTGGGAAAGTTCATACTTTTTTTTCATAATTTGCATTTATCTTACTGATATCGGTGGGAAAGTTCATAATTTCATTTTCAGAATTAGCACATTTCATACGGATATCGGTGGGAATGTTCATACTTTATTTTTCAGACCTTGCATATTTCCCACGGTTATCAGTGGGAAAGTTCATACTTTATTTTCAGCTCCCCGTGCATTTTTTCCATCACTTTCCTGGCTAATGTATTAAAATTAATAAAAATTACTAATAATATTTTCCACTGATTGTTGGTGGGAAATTTCATTATTTTTCCTATTAAAGTTTCTCTGGGAAAATCGTGGGAAATTTTCCACCGCTTCTCTGGGAAGATATTTCCCACAAAGCGTTTTCCTGGTGACTCGTTTTGGTGGGAATGCGGTGTGAAAACTCGATTTTCCCACCAGTTTTCTACTGATTTCGCCGTGGAAAATCCATGTATTTCTAGTAGTGTTCTAAATTTGGTTCTAAGGGTATGAAACCCCGTATGTGTCTTGTGATTGATTTGGAGGTGACGCACATGCTAGGTGACGGGCATGTGGGCGTGCACCATAAAAATTGTGACTTGGTCCGTTCCGTGGAACTGTGAAGTTGAATAATCTGTTGTTAGCTATATGCTCTTCATGTGTTATAGAAATTTGACTGCAAATCATGTTAGAAATCATGTTTAGACTAAATGTTGTACTCAGTCACGATTTTACTTGCGTATCATATCTCAGTCTCTTCTTGTTTTCTTGTTGATACATTACATCATTTCTGTTTGGGCTGATTTTTATGATTTTTGAGAGCCTTAGAGACTGGAGAGGTTGGTGACTGAGTTAGGGCCTGAGTGTCGAGCTGTGTATATGTATATATATGGTTGCACGTCGCAACGAGCCTTAAGACTGTATATATGTGGATCAGGTTGCAAGCCGCAACGAGCCTTAGGGTTGTATATGTGTGGGCCGGGTTGTGCGCCGCAATGAGCCTTAAGGTTATGTATATATGGATCGGGTTACACGCCGTAGCGATATAAAGCTTGGGCTGAAGGAGTCCCTCCGGAGTCTGTACACACTCCCAGTGAGCGCAAGTGCCTTTTGAGTACGAGTGTTGAGCGCCGGGTACCTAGTGCTGAGCTATTGGGAAAGATTGAGTGACTGTTGCTCTGAGAGGATGCTCTTGATTTCATTATTGTTGCACTTAGCTGCCATATATCACTGTCTGGAAGTTTTCTGAAAGATGTTATATTCTGTTTTACTTGAATTTGATATGAGATAACTGATTTGGCCTAAATTGTCGAACTTGAAAGCATGTCTATTTTTCCTATGTTGAAATTTCTGAAATTGAACTATAATTGCACAGCTCGTCAGTACTTTCAGTTCTTTATTTAGTATTGTTACTTACTGAGTTGATTGTACTCACGCTACACCCTGCACTTTGTGTGCAGATCCAGGTATTTTCGGTTATGGCGGGTGTTGACTTCTTTTGCTCAGTTGACCGTTTGGAGATTTCGAGGTAGTTGTCGGCGTTGTCGCAAACCTTGTCTCTCCTTCCCTATCTTTACGTTTATTTTATTTAGATCCATACTTGCATAGACATTACTTTTCCAGACTTGTGCTGTATAGATGCTCATGAACTCAGTGACACCCCGATGTCGGGAGTTTCTGCATTATGTTTTGGGTTTCTACCCCATTTATGAGAATTTTTGTTATTTAAAAACTACCTTGATGCATTTTCTGTTAAATGTTGGGAATATCTTGAAAATATCGGCTTGCCTAGTACCACGATAGGCGCTATCATGACAGGTTAGGATTTGGGTCGTAATATTATTGCACATATAATTCTAATATTATTTATATTAATTGAAAATATCATTATTAATTAGCGTGTCATACACGTGCAATGTACTTATCGAGAAACTAGTATAAGAAAAAGGTATAAGTACCCCTTGAATTAAGAGCGAACTTTCAGTTTTAAATTTCTTTTTTTTAAGTTCGTGCTCAATCAAGCACTTCAAATAAAATAAAATAGAATAAGTATTTGCCATAATTTATTTTGTATTAGGAACAACTTCAGTTTAGTATCTCGCGTCACAATCCAATCTTTAGCGGTCTTCATAAGACAAAATCTAGAGATTATGTATTTTGTATTAGGATCAACTTTAATTCGGCATCTCGTGTCGCCATCCAATCTTTAACTTCATAAAATAAAATCTAGAGGTTATATAATTTGTATTAGGACAATCTTAAGTTCAGTATCTTGTGTCACTATCCAATATTTAACGGTCTTCATAAAACAAAATCTAGAGATTATATTTGGCAACATTTAAAATCTAAGTCAAATATAAGACTAGCTCGGACAGATGTGCATAATACGCTCATAATATTTATGGAATAAAGATAGGACTAGCTCACTCAGCGTTACGCCTTTACTCTCCATCTGCGTTACGCCATTCTTACTGTAATGCAATTTAATCAAGCTATGCTTGAAATCTCCGATGTCGAAACTCGTGAATAACTATTTAATTTTTTTTGTTTTTGCGTTGTAGCTTCGAAAATTATTTTCTTTGCCTCTTTTAACATATCAGTTTGAGTTGATCAAGTGGTACATGCAGGGGCGAAGTCAGAATTTCAGGGTTCTGGATTTTAAAATGTTAACTTCAAGTGTTAATAACTGAGTTTTAAATTTAATATTCATACATATTTGCTAAATTTTTAACACAAATATATTATTTGAGCAAAAAGCTATTGGGTTTGACCGAACACATAGACGGGCTTCTAGCTCCGTCCCTGGGTACATGTCGGTGTTTGGCTTCAAGACAAGGATAATTTTGAAAGTTCATGAAGGTTGAATGTTTATTTTCTGACTTGAAATTTACCGGATGAAAAAAATAACGATATGACGAGTGATATATCATACCTAAATCTGAAATCAAACCTTCCAGACATTTGTATTCTCCTTCCTAAATTACACATAGTTCAATTATCTTCACATAAAAAATAATTTTGCAGAATAGTAGGCAAAATCCCGTGATAATTCGTGGAATCAGTTGCAATTTGAACAATAGAAAAATTAATATATTAATTTATTTTCGACAAGAAAATTAAAAGTTGAATAAAAACAAATGGGATTGGATTATTTAAATCATAAAAATATTTAGTAAATAAAAGACTCCAACCTTACACATTTTTAGACCCACTCTAAAGCCTCAAGCTCAAGTCCAAACCATTTGGTTCTTCATCTAATGCAACTGCATTTGATGAAATGGGCACATCCAACTGATTTATCAATGGTCGTGTACAATCAGGAGTCACATTTAAATCAAGTGTATGTGAAGCTCTATCTTTATTTCTTCTTACCATTTGTTGCCTTCACTAGGGTGAGAATGATTCGACGATGATGATGTTGTTGGTAGAACAATACCTCTGTTATTTCTTCTCGAACTTGCATGTTGTGATGATGCAGGTTGAGGTGGTTGTGAATGGGTTGGTAAAGGAAGAGCGGCTGCATCTACACCAGAACGTAGAATGACATCTTGCTCGGAAGATAACGGGTGAAATTGTAAATAATTCATAAAGTCAAAATGAGTACTAAATATGCCATAACATAAAGGGCAGCGAAGTAGTACACGACAAGGCATTAAAATTGGAGGAGGAGAAGGATTTATGTTATGCATGTTGAAAAATGAATGACAAAGTTTTCTAAAGAAAGATCTCTCCGTAGAAACAATGGCAGAGAAAATATTGACTTTGCACAATATTTTTGTAAGATGTGAAGAGCATTATAGGCTACTTAGGGTGTAATCTTGCCCTTGATTTATTTTTGTTCTAGATTTCTAATAGTAAGTTCAATGTTGTAACAATGTGTGACAGCTTCACAAAATTAAAAAAAAAAACTAATATTTTTCTTATTTTGGGATTTGTCTTTTTCCTTATTTTTGTTTATATTTAACTAACCTACTGTAATAGATTTCGAGAGAAGGCTCTGTTTTATCTCTAAGTCAATTAATTACCTTCTTAGATTACAACAAACTCATCATTTAGCCATCTATATTTAATACAACATACTTACGAATTCAAATTTCAAAGTAAATTCCCGTTATGATTTTATTTCAAAATCCAAGGTGTGATTTTGTTCAACTAGCATAAAGCAATAACTTCTTTTTTTTTTTTAGTAAATTGCCGCAATCTGATTTCTTTTGAATCATACTCACCAAATTGATGTAATCACAGAGATACATAATAAACATGGTATGAGTTAAGTTCTAGTCTGCAGGTTTTTCAATTCTCCCTAACAATCTTCATGCCAACATAAGCTAGCAACGCACGAATAATTTATGCTTTTTTTGGACCTCGCGCATAGTAGGAGTTTAATAACCGGAGTGCACACAGCTAGCAGCGGCAAATGTAGCTTCATAGCTACGGGTTCAATTGAACCCATAACTTTTGAGGTAGACATAAACTTATGTGTAAAAATTTATTAAAATCATAAGAAATAGTGAATATGAACCCATAACTTTAAAAATTTGATAGTTCAATGCTAAAAAACTTAAATATTGAACCCATATAATTTAAATTCTAGATCCGCTTCTAACTGCTAAGGCAACTTTTGGATTTCATAAGCCTTGTAGTATTTCTTTTTATAAGGAAATCCTAGTGTTATTGTTTTTCTAAATATGCTGTTCATATTTTCCCTTGCCAAAAAAAACAATTTCTCGTCGATTACTCTTCCGGTATTCCGTTTGAATCATCAGGATTGC